GTCCCGTGCCAGGTGCAGGATCTGCTGGCTGGGTGCCGGCAGGCTTGCACCTGGCACGGGCACCGTAGCCAGACTGTGCCCCCTTATGAGCTCCGGGGCCGGGACGAGTTTCCCTGGTTGAGCCCAGAGTGGCCACCAGGGCAAGTTGGGAAGGGCTAGCCTCCCACTAGTTCGAATTAAGTGGCTACACAGCCCTTAATCCGAACTACTTAATTCGAACTAGGCGTTAGTCCTCGTAGAATGAGGTTTATCTAGTTCGAATTAAGCGCTCCGCTAGTTCGAATTAAGTTCGAACTAGCGGTTTGCCTGTGTAGCGCCTATGAAAGTTAATTCAAACTAACGGCTGTTAGTTCAAATTAACTTTGTAGTGTAGATATACCCTATCATATAGTACATACAGTTGGAATTATTTTTTCCGATGTGCATTACTTTACATTTGTCAACATTAAATTTCATTTGCCATTTAGTTGCCCAATAACTTAGTTTGGTGAAACTCTTCACAGTCTGCTTTGGTCTTCACTATCTTGAGTAGTTTGGTATCATCTGCGAATTTTGCCACCTCCCTGTTTACTCCTTTCTCTAGATCATGTATAAATAATTTGAATTGAATTGGTCCTAGGACAGACCCTTGGGGGACTCCATTAGTTACCTCTCTCCAGCCGAAAAACTTCCCATTTATTCCTACGCTTTATTTCCTGTCTTTTAACTAGTTATCAGTCCATGAAAGGACCTTCCCTCTTATCCGATGTCAACTTACTTTACTTAAGAGCCTTTGGTGAGGTACCTTGTCAAAGGCTTTCTGGAAATCTAAGTATCCACTGGATCCCTCTTGTCCACTTGTTTGTTGACCCCTTCAAAGAACTTTAGCAGAAGTTCTATACTAATAAGTTCTTATACTAATAAGGCATGATTTCCCTTTACAGAAACCATATTGACTTGAGTTTAGCAAGTCAGGATCATGCTACGTTATTAGAAATGCCTTCCCCTGTGTCATCGTACACTGAATGCCTTTTTCTCCAAAGTTTGTACAGAGCTCACATAAATGAGAAGATTCCAAAATCTAATTTCCAGTAAGGGTGGGACAGTTTCATCCCTGATGTAACTCCACTGACTTTATTAGTATTACTGGCATCTGAGGCAGAAGCAGGCTCAGTTTTTGGAAACGTGACATTAACTCAATTTTTACAAAATTTGTGAGATTTCTAGTAGTGTGGGGTAAGGTTTAAGTTTGAGATCAGACGCATGACTGCTATCTTTCCTGGTTCCACATTTATGTCCATAAACCTCCTCCTTCATGATTTCTTTTAATAATGTCTCTTTGCTGGTCTACTTCCTTGTCTCAAGATCTTCAGAAACTGGGACTCCATGGAAGCAACGGGCTTAGAGAAAAGGGGATGGAGTCAATGAGAAAGGGAGTGAGCATGAGTCTGTTCTGACAAACACATAATAAACAGAATTTTGGGTTTCTATTTTCTTTCCCAATACCTGAAGATCTATCAGAGCTTCTCCTGTACAGTGTATCACCAGGTACTTAGAAAAGCATAGTGATATGCACTGGAAATTAGACTCTGCTTTTAGTATAATGACAGCCCATGGTAGTACTCTGTGAGAGGGGGACTTACACCAGACCAATGCTTACAAGGCAGGGAATGCTTAAGAAAAAGTGGAGGGTTCATGCAATTGAAAACATAGATCAAGCATTCATGTGAAATAAGCTGAGACGCACGACAAAGATTCTTCGGTGAAACAAATCTCTGATGCAGTCTTGACACAGTGGACTCATAAATTGTGTTGTTTTTAGTTTCAGGAGCCAGTGGGAGCAAGGACCAGGAACTTGGCTATGTGACAGCCGCATTGGGGAACACATGGAGTCACAGTGTCAACACAAGGCTCATATTACAGTATCATGACTTGCACACAAAACAGGTGAGGAATTTATCAGGAAAAAACAGTAAAAAATGAGTGCCCAGAGCTTCCTACCCTATGGTTTATGGGATAAACTCACTGTGAGTTCTGCCCGATTGGCTCAGAGAGGGCTCTGTGAAAATGCTATCCCCTTGTGCTTGGGATTATGATTTATGGAGTGCATTGACACCCAGTTCTGTTGGGTGAGGGACATTCCTTCAGTGTTCTGACACCTTGTGTTCTGGAGCAGTGATAGTGTTTTCTAAGTCAGTGGTGTGCAGTCTTTTTTGATCTGTGACCCCCGTGTCCTGGGGGCCACCAACTGCTGGGTCCAGCCCCCAGCTGGTCAGATCTAGGCACTGCGCCGCGGGGGCCACCAAATGACGGGCCCACCCCCTGGCTGGCCAGATCTGAGTACCTCTCCGCGGGGGCCGCCAACCGCCTGGCCCAGACCTCAGCTGGTTGGATCTAAATGCTGTGACCCCTGGGAAGACATCTGCAACCCCCTTGCGGGTTGCAACCCACGGATTGTGCATCACTGTTCTAAGTGACTGAAGTTCTGGAGATGGAGAAGTTCTGAAGTTCTTGTCCTTTGAGGACCTACATAATCATTGATCCTTGGGACAGTGATCCATGTGCCCTGCACTCTGTATGCTATCTGAGTTTCTACCAGTAAAATACTTGCCATGAGTATTCATATAGAAACCCTTACAGTTTTTCAGCTCTGTGCAAGTGAAATTTTCCTGTCTCCATCTGCAGTAATAATAGCTTTTGAATGCAAACATGATGGAAATTTTCCAGGGTCATATTTGCAGTAGCAAGGGAGCTCACTGTTTTCTCTGAGAAATGTCACGATGTGCAGTGAAATGTGGTAGCCTTTTTTTGCTTTCAAAAATCATCTTTTTCATTTTTGAGAAATCTGGTGAAAAATTCAGTTCCAAGACATTAATACATTTGCTTGTTGAAAGGCCAGCAAAACTCATGATGTAACTTATTCCCTTGGGATGTCTGTGGTTGGACTTTCTTAGTTTTGCATGTCTTATTATTATGCCAATATAACTCTTTCCAAAGATCCTGCCACTCTTTCTAACATTACCCATTTCCTTTGACTTAAAGTCAAGGTGTTGTTGGAAAAATTACCATGTAAAACTTTCTTCTTTCTTTTATTTGTTCCCAATGTGTCTGCCAGTCAGAGCTTCTGATTTTACTGCCACAAACCAATGGTTCCTTCTGCTAGCCTGCCAGGGACCATACAGATAATAGACTAATTCCACCATGCACATCATTAGTGAAGTTGTCATTTCAGCATCTTAATTTCTGGGAATGATGTATTGTGCAAAACAGAAACTTCACAGGTGGAATTTGTATCAAAGAGAAGTAGAAAAGGCATCTTTTGACTCATAGAATAGGCACATTTAATTTGGAGCTACTGAAAAATAAATTTGGAATCCATAATGTAATTTGCACAGCAACACATTTCTGAGGACAGCTATACCCTTAGTGCAAACTGGAAGCTGTAGTCCAGTACACAGCAGTCTCATCATAAGCCCAGCATAAAGGCTCTCAGATCCTCAGTTTAGGTATTGAAAACAAGACTTACAATACAAAGTAAGCAAACTAAAATGCATACAGTTATCATTGTGCCTCTGGAAGTGCAAAGTAATTTTTTTTGGTAGCCAACTTCTTAGGATACTGTCCCTTCTATAAGTAGTCTTTGAAAATCTCTCCTGCATCGGTCTCTTGAGTTCCTGAGGAAATTCCTTTTACTCTAGCTTCCCTTCACCCATCCATATACCTCTGTTATAAAAATTGCTGGGATGTGAAATAATATATCCAAGAGGGGCCTCCCTTGATATTCCACTTTCCTTGGAATGGATCCAGGGTTCTGTTTCTTACTGGGAATCTCACTCAGAGAAGGGAAAAATCAGCACCTGAAATACAGAGCTATATTCCTTCCTAGTATGAAGCTAGTATAGTGGGAGAGGATCCGTAACTAGGCCAGAGAGATTTCCTAAAGCGAAATATGTGAGGGGTATCCCAGCAGAGGTTGCTAGATGCTCATTCTCAGTTGTGGAATACTCATTTTCTTGGGGCAGACTTGGATATTATGTGGGTGTTCATAATCCCAAACGAACCGGGAAAGGGTGACTCCACACATCAGATTGGAGAATTAATATTTGAGTGTAATCAGGGAAATGTAGCACAGAAGTCTGGCCAAAGATCTCTTATTTCAGACAAGGCACTGTCATGTTGCATAGTGCAGTGGGCAGTTTTAAGCCCCTCATGACTGGTGAGTTCTACTCCAAGAGAAGTCAGGGTGGCAGGTAATGAAACATGTATAAGAGTTTGCCTGTCTCAAAATGGACCATACTTGTTTTTTTGTGTGGAGAACAGCAGCTTATTTTAGTGCCTTCTTTAGAACCCAGGAGGAGCTGGGGTTGTGTGAGGAAATACTTCCTTTTGTTTATTTTAAACAGCTGCCTATCAATTTTCATTTGGAAACCCCTAGTTATGAGAAGGACTAAATAACACTTCCTTATTTACTTTATCCACACCAGCCAAGATTGTATATACCACTATCATATCCCCCCTTAGCCATCTCTTTTCCAAGCTAAATAGACCCAGTCTGATTAATCTGTCTTCATATGGACACTGTCCCATAGTTCTGTTGCCCTTTTCTGTACCTTTTCAAATTTCACTGTATCTTTTTTGAGATGGGGTGACCACGTCTATGCACAGTATTCAATACATGGGCGTAGTATGGATTTATATAAAGGCAGTGTGATATTTTCTGTCCTCTCTCTCCCTTTCCTAATGATTCCCAACATTCAATTTGCTTTTTTGACCACTGCTGCATTTTTTGAATGGCTGTTTTCAGAGAACGATCCACAGTGGCGTTAAGTTCTCTTTCTCCAGTAGTAACAGCTAATTTAGACGTCATCATTTTGTTATGTATAGTTATGATTATTTTCCAATGTGCATTACTTTGCATTTATCAACATTGGGCAACAAAATAGGAGATGAAATTCAATCACCCAGTGTCAAAGTCCCTTAGTAACTCTTTGCAGTCAGCTTTGAACTTAATTATCTTGAGTAGTTTTGTATCAGCTGTAAATTTTGCCTTCTTACAGTTTATTCCTTTTTCCAGATCATTTATGAGTATGCTGTGTTGAGCATTTATGAGTACTGTTGAGCAATATCTGACTCTTGGAAGACACCACTATTTATCTTTGTCAATTCTGAAAACTGATATTTGTTCCTACCCTTTGTTTCCTATTTTAACAAATTACTGATCCATGAGAGAATCTTTCCTTGTATACCATGACAGCTTACTTTGCTTAAGAGCCTTTGGTGAAGGGCCTCATCAAAGGCTTTCTGGAAATCTCAATACGCTAGATCCACTGTGTCCCCCTTGTCCATATGCTTGTTGAACCTTTCAAAGAATTCTAGTAGATTAGCGAGACATGATCTTCCCAATTAACTGTGTTCATCTATGTGTCTGATAATTCTGTTATTTACTATAGCTTCAACCAATTTGCCTGGTACTGACATTAAGCTTACCAGACAGTAATTGCTATGATCACCTCTGAAGTTTTTAATTTTTTTTTAAGTGGAATCACATTATTTATCCTCCAGTCATCTGGTACAGAAGCTCATTTAAATAATAAGTTACATACCAGAGTTAGTAGTTCTGTAATTTCACCTTTGGGTTCCTTCAGGAAAGAATGTTCCTGAGCTGGAATCTCCAGTATGTCACAAAATTAATCATGCCATTCAAGAACTAGGGGTATTAAAAGGGTTAACCAGTTAAATGCTAGTGTTTAACCAATTAACTATTTTAAATTAGGGCATGATGCCTGATCCAGTGTGGGGTCCCTCCACCTGGCCAGGGGCTGCTCTGCCCCGGTGCGTTTGGCCACTGCTGGAGTTTACTGGCAAGGGACAATCAACCAATAAGCATACCATTAAGCCTCATGCTTACCGGTAGAGCCCAAAAAATCTGCAGATATCCACTTTATATCTGTAGACATGAATGCGGATATTTGTGGTTCATTTTTGTGGATTTGGATGCAGATACCAATTTTGTATCTGCACAGGGCTTTACTTACTGGTATGCTTACTGGTTAACTGTTTAACATCCCCTACCAAGAACACAAGCACATTCTGTTAATAACAACTGAGGACTCGGTCCCTAAACTTCTGTGAAATGTGGTGATGAAATGAAAGAGCTCTGAGGAGGATGGCAAAAGAAGTTCTCTGTAGACTCCTTTATAAGGCGAATTTGCCAGCATTTTTATATGTATAAAATAATAATGTATTTGTTTTTCTCTAACCAAATAGGTCATTGACCTAGAACTAGGGTAGGCATCAAACAGTGACATTTTATTCACTTTCCTGAAGTCTACACAGAATAATATAGGCCCATTGTGTTTGGGCCAAAAATAGTGAGTTTTACTGGGACTACCCAGCCCCTTAGCTTTTTTATTGCCTTTGCTTCCTGCATGCGAGTCAATAGACTCAGAGATTTATGGTCCCACATCCACTGAACTCTCTTCTGGAGCTGACACATTCAGGGTTTTTAAAGACTGATATGCTATTTTATCACTTCCTTCTTTTCTGCCAAAGATAGGGTCCTGGACTAGATGATCCACTGGTCTAATCTGTATAGCAATTACTATGGTCTGGTTTCACTTTATACTACACAAGAAAGTTGTGGAGCACATCATATTGCATTAATAAAGCAATTTGAGATGCTCAGATAGAAGGTGCTGCTGATGATAATCCTTTTTCTGTGGTGTTCCTTACAAAGAGGATGTGTGTTGGATGAAAATAAAGGTCATAATTTTCACAGTCTAGAAAGGGTAACTTGTTAGTTGACAGTTTTCCTGATTCAGGTAAAGTGTTGCAATTTCACAAATCCACTGTGACACAAAAACAAATACAAGACTTCCCTCGTCAGAGTGATACCAGACATAACTTTCAGGATGCCCTTGGTTACAGATCAGCTGTTTTTGTCCTCA